TTTCAACAAGTTTATCGTAGATAATTTGACTGTAACATGAAATCTAATAAATACTGTAATTTTGATCGCCAGGCAGATTCACAGAAAAAAAAATGGGGAGGTGGTTCATTAGTGAAAAAATTACACATTTTAAATTCTGAACGTAGCGAGGAATGTTGGTTTTACAATGTTGTTTATTATATTTTCTGTGAATAATTCTTCTACCAGAAATCTTACTCCAATGTATCAAGTGTAGCACTTTTTCTGAAAGAAAATTTTACCTAATTGGTACTTTAAGGAGGTCATTTTTTGATTTTCTATGCTGTTAGACAAACTATAAAAACTAGTATGCACATGATACGTTTTACAAATTTCGGGGGTGAATAACTAAATACTATTTAGTACTACGTTCTAGCTGAACTAGGTTTCCGTTTTATCATGTAAGATTTTTTCAACTGAAACAATTTTTCCTAAGAAAAAAATTTCGTTATCCATTCAGAATTTAAAATACATGTTATATACGAAACGCATAATATAAAATATTGTTACGGTTCTATTACCCGACAATAATAATATTTTGTTAAATCAAAACCGGTTATAAATAAATGCAATCAACAATTATTATAATAATCCGGACAAAAGTTTTACTTCGTATTTATCTATTTATTCTTTCTGATACAATATAATATTTCATTTGATAACAATAACTAATGTCGTTTAAAATCCGAACAGCTCGGTTCGTTTCAAACGTCGCTGTTTTCCCGAAAAGCAAAACAAATTCGCACTAACCCTGTTTTCGCGGCAAATATAACGGACCGTGTGGCTATGCGGTTTTAAAACGAACTGCCGCGGTGTATACCTAATGATTCCACGTTAACCCGTTTGCGATGCGATTCGAATAAGAGTCGGGGAGTATTGGCGCAACTCCTAGTCGCCGACAACCTCCTTGATCGCGGTTTCGAAACATGTGCAAAACGACGACAACGATAGGCAATGATATTGTCACAACCGCGGTCTCAATGCTAACCACGTTGATAGTTTGCGATAAATATAGAATAGCACGAGCGTTGGCGTTACCGCCGTCACACAATATTCCGATTCGCGAGACTATAGAGAGTCGATCGCGTGCGGTAAGGTCACCGCGGCCCTTATTCCGTCGTACAATCGCTCGCGCGGGGTAACTAATCCACCAACTCGAATAGTACGCATTTCTTGAGATAACGCGCCAGCTTAATGTTTTTTTTTTTTTTTTTTCGTGTGGCTACAGAGTGCGCCCCATCAGTGTATACGGGGGCCGTGTATCAACAATTATTGTAAATGTTGTTCACGAGAGCCTAAATGGCGTTATCGCACTGACAATGCAAATGCGTTAATGTTTCAATGCAAGAAGGCCGTATTTCGTTATGCGGCCAAATTGTTGACGACATCCGTTCACGTTATCAAGAAATATCCGTATTGATTTAGTGCAAGAAGGCCGCATTTCGTTCTGCGGCTTTATTGTTCTCAGCTACCTATCTATTTGCTTCAGTACAATAAGTTTATTTCGTTAACTGGCAATTTAGTAATATAAATATACAGATCGTGTCATTATAAAAAAAAAAAAAAAAAGAGAGAAAATAAATACGATTTCAGGGACACCAAAACCTTAACATTTTCGATATAATATGGCCCTCTCGCGATGTTACGATATTGCCAAGTTCACCGCAGGCTTACCGAAAAGTTATTAGATAATGCCGAAAAATGTTGGGAGTGATGTGTTTAGTGATGAAATGATGATGGGAAATTATTTATTATAGTTTTAGATCACGGAACGGCCAACATGTAAGTTTCAGACATTTTTACCCCATGCAATCATTTATGAAAAAAAACAGAACTTCCGATTGAAGGTTAATCATATTCGTATCTAAACATTGGATTATTTTTTTAATTACGAATCAGTCGTGATTGTCCACAAAGATTTTGATAAAAACCGCCAGAAGCATGAGTCCCGTAAATAAATAAAAATTGTAATAGATTTTCAATTTCGGATTCATACAAACGGGAACGGGTTTCTGAAAATATCGATACGATGACGTCGCTACTAATATTAAATTCTGGACAAATGGTAGTCTAATATATTGCCGTCCTAGTCAAATATATACTTTTGTATAAAATATGATTCCAAATTGATTGAAAAATATAATAAGTAAACGAGCAACATAAAAATATTATTGAACGTCCAAACTCGAGTTTATTAAATGGTATAAGTGTGGTAGACATGGTCCGGGTTAAAATCCCGACCGTTTCTTAACTCATCCTTACATCGAATTCGTTCGTTTAAAACTGACGTAAAGATCCCGTTGTACAGTCATTTATTAGTATTTAACGGCTGTTACACGTTTTTATAGATGATTACATTTTTTTTTTCCAGGCGTATAAAAAATAATTTGTTCTTTTCGAACAACTCCCGTGTGTTTAATTTTATAACAGTAATAACGGACCAAGGAACCACACGCATTGCGGTTTAAACGATTTATCTTATTAAAAATCGATCACACTCGACGCGACTCCTAAATCTACCTATCATAGTTGTGTTTAAATTAGCATTACCTAATAATACATGGTAGGTATCTATATTGTCACATCGCAATGACCAGTAATACGAACAGCTCGACAGGTTTTACTACAAAAAAAAAACAACCAGTTTTTTGAATAAAAAAACAGAAGGCACACACCCACAGAATATCTTTCGAACAAGATAGAACTACCTATAGTTATCTAATAGATATCTATTAATACTGCTGTCATAGTCGAAAACGAAAACAAAATATTATAATTGGTTTTCGTTTTTTTTTTGTCGACAACTTTTTTTTTCGTCTAGCTATAATTAATAGTTAAATAGATTGAAACTTGAAACGGGTTTGCATAATTATATTATTATAACGATCGCATTATAGTGTGTTCGCGGCGGGTCATTGAAACTTTCATTTAAGTATTTAACCGTCGGAAATGATTAACAACATCGAAACACGTCACGAAACTCTCATAATCCCCACTATATATTAATGATTATGCATCTCAAAAACAAAAATGCACATTTATTTAGAATTGAATTGTTAAACAGTTTGTTTGTAGTTCAGAAACGACAAATAGCATAGTGCTGACTATTAACTACAGTTACAGAATCTGAAATACGAAAAAAAAAAACCCACGAATTCGTATCCTAATTCCTATTCTTTTTTAAGAGAATGTCGCACATTGACAATATATTAATTTAAGGGGTCACGTATAGGCAATTTCAATGGCTCGATTACAGGAAAATTGATGGACTGGAAAATATAAAAATCCAACTTCAAATAAATGTATACATGTAGTGTCGTGTCATTTTTTATTGTGTAATCACTAACGGGGAATTAAACTAAAATATTTACTTCGAAAAACCCGTTTTGCTCGCGGAACAACTTTATATTTTTGATTACTGATTTCGGAACACGTCGGTAAGAATTTCATTTATGCCGTTATTACTTTTATATAGCCCTAACCAATCACTTTTTAGTAAATACATAATAAACCAAAACAAACACCAGGAAGTTATCAAATTTTGGTTATTCTACTGTATTGTATGCATTTTATAATGCGAGAAAAGTTGTGCCGTACAAAACGGGTTTTCCGGTCAAATGACGGGTGGTACCTATGGCATCGTCTTAAAATAACAAAACAATGAAAACCTTATTACCTACGGCTTGTTTTCAAAATTATTCATATCGAATGCACCAACAAACACAAAATCGATTTTGCATAAATAACTGTTGCATAAATGAATAAGTTTAACCTAACCTCTTTAATTTTTGAAAAAGTCGTATTTATATATTTTTTTTTATTGAAGGTCAATATGCATTTACTAGATCCATAATGGAAAATAAATATAAAAGAACTCGTATACGATAAACGTAGTATGAGTATTGAGTATCCGATGAATTGATCGTGCGTAATTATTAATTTCGAGTGAATAATAAATTAGTTGCAGCTGTAAATTAGTCACCGGTCATTTGATCGATCATTTGAAAACCAATATAAATGAGGTTACGATGAATTTAAAACATTTTTATAATACAAATGTTAATTTGTTTTTGGCGATATTTTCACGCACGATCCAAATTTAAAAATAAATTGACTAACATATAAATATTTAGAAAATTATTGAGTTAGAAAATAAAAATATAGATGAATAAATTGTGGTAGAATAATTGGCATTAAAATAATAATATAATATTAGAATCCAGAGATTTTAGAATCCTAACAATTCAGAACGCTAAGAAATCAGAATATAAACATATTTTGGCTTTGCTTTTATTTTGCTTAGAGTTCGTTATTTTTTTTTTCATCGTATATTATGTTTCTGATATTTTATATTTCGAAAAAATCGGATTCCAAACGATTTGTTTTCTATCCCTTTTATTTTCCGTAATTTACGAATTCATAGCTTATGATTTTCGTCGCCATGTACACACAACTATAGAAAGTATTCTAGTTCTTTATGTTAGTTAAAATTATTTTCTAAACACGCAAATTTAGAATTTTCGTTATTGTACTTGATTTTTATTGTCCGTGCATTTATGTACATGGGCCTTTTAACCGAACAGATTAGTATTTTATTTTTTAACCGTCAACCACCGTTTTAAAGGGCCGAATTCACAATACGGCCAACGCTATTATTACCGCCGCTCGTACATCGGCTGGTTAATTCGCGAGTCTCGTTTCCCCCCCCCCTCTTTTTCATTATTATCGCGGCATATACGGCGGCGCGGTTTGCATCGTGCCCGTACGTGTTGCTAATCATGTCATACATACCCATAGTAAATAATATCTACTTCAACTAATAAGTATAATAATACATTTCATTTATATAGGTAGATATGATATACACACAAATAAACATAATACACGAGTATTGCCGCATTATCCGCGGTACTCGTACGCGCGCGCGCGACCGTATAGACCCGGAAACGACCGGAACCGTGAGGCCTATTACTCGTGTTATTATGGCGAACGTCCGTCGGGGCACTGATCGTATTAAGTCATTATTTAATATGGTCATTAAAGTGCACGGACACGTACCGAAGTCTCAATCGCCGCATACGAAGCACACGTGGTTTTCTGTAATTGATTATTCGTTTTCCATACGGAATGCGAGAACGCGACTTCATCAATTAGACGACTGTCGCGAATCCGTGATCGGATCGGTAAAAATATAACGATGCTATTTTACAATAATAATATTATTATTGTTTCGCGAATGCGGTATTTGAGAAGCGGTTGTCGCTCGATTTTTTTTATTGTTTCATAAGTTTTATGCTGGTGGGCGTATGAAAACAACCGAATATTAGTTTATCTATTTAATAAAAATGACAGGTGAACATATAATTGGCACGTATCGGTAATATTGACGGGCCAAAACTGGATAGAACTGCGGGGTACGTATTTTGTGTTCATATTCATTTTTGTTACGTGAATATATTGTGTTTTCGGGGTGGTGGGTCGTTCGCAAATTTACGAGAAAATTTCGTCGTAACGCGAAAAATGTGACGCCGTGTCTATATCAAATCCAGTTCCATAGTAATAAATAATACAACACAAACTATATTAAATATAATAGTTTTTGCGATACCGGAAAGTGTGAGAGAGGGGAGGAGAAGATTTTTTTAAAATTCGGGCTTCTAATCCCGAAAAAATACGTACAATACACTGCCCCCCCCCACTTTTTTGGATTTTGAATTTTCAAGAACTCTACCATAGTTCGTCATTTGTTTAAAATTAGTTTGACATATTTCACCTATTTAACCGAAACAGCAGATCGCTATCATTCATCTCAACCGACTACAAAATTTCAAAAATAATTTTAATAATTAGATAATTTATATCATTTTATTATAATTGTTAGGAAGGTTCTTATTTAAGGTTATATGTAAAAAAAAAAAAGGTCATTCGAAACTTTATTAAGACACTGGCATGTCCCTCCCTGAGAAATTTCCTGCGGACGGCCATGCGTACTTATATACTATTACGGGAATAACAAAACACCTCTAGAATAACTAGAATAATTTCTGTGGCTTGGTGCAAGAAGGGCCAATATCACATATTGTGATTATTGAGAAAATGGTCTATGAAATTTTAATTCCCCATAAGGCTCTTTGTATTTTATTAAATGTAAACGTTTGTGTAATTTTTAATTTTAATTTGATAAATAAAAAATTTTACATTTTTTGTTTTTATTTTTAAATGATTTTTTTTCAAAAAATTGACATTGGCCCTTTTGCACAAAGCCACAGATTTATATTTGACTTTATTGAATTTGTATGTTTTTCAAAACCTTAACACAACCACATGCCACCCTTCCATCATTAGTATTTCGGTTATAACGATGACTGTAGAAAGTCCAAACAAATGACAGACTTCACGGTGATTGTATTGAAAAACCCGAAAATCCAAAAAGGATACGCGGTGTAACGTACGTCGAATACGTAAAATCCGCGATTCTATACAATAATGATGTATGTTTGTTCGCGCAGCGGAGAAATGTTTACAATTTATACATTTTTTTTATATATATATATATATATATATATATACGAGCACCACTTACCGATTTTTCAAGTGAACGCCGTCGGTCGCACGGTAGGTGTCGCGGTGAACTTCTGCAACTGGATTCGCGTGTACGTTATTGTAATATCGAGTAAAAAACAGGATAATAATAATAATAAAAAAAAAAAAAATCCGCGGACTAATATAAATACTATCGTAGGCGGGTTTTAATGTGCAGGCGAGAAACCGTGTACATGCGCGCGAGCACAAACACACACACACGAGTATTATAATATGTTATTAGGTATTTTATATTGTAATTATTTACGGGTTTTTTTTAAATTTTTTTATTACGATTCTCTTTCGTTTCGATATTTTTGTTTTTGTTTTCCTTTTCGTACGACAACCCGAGTGTTATAACGATATTATCAGGATAATATTCAGCGGCCGGTGCAACGATAAACGTACCAATGGACGTGTGATTGATTCCCAGTGACCTTTTTATACGGTTCCCACTCCCCGCCCAGGCCGGCCGCGTGTTTCGCGCCGGGGTTCTCCGGGCAGCGACGCGAGCGGGAGACATCCTCTCCATCACTCCCCGCAATACGGGTCTTATTATTATATATATAGGTATATAGGTACCGATACCATATTTTTATTAATTAGGTTCGACGTAGGTCTCCCGTCGTCGACGGGTTTTATTTTTTGTTATTGTTTTTACGCGCGCGTATATACGGACCCTCTCGAATCGTTTATTACTATCGTTTTTTTTTTTTGCTCGTAGCGTACCTTTATGCATTAATATTTTTACCATCAATACGAGTACCTATATAATATGATGTAGTATATTATATTTAATATATACAAGGCCGGTGAAAAAAAAAAAAAACAAACGAGTTTCTTTTGATCGCATACGCATACAATACACGCCGCACACAATACGTAGTACGACCTACTCGTATTAAACAAATTGTATTATTGTCATTATTATACCGTGCAGTGTCTTATTAGCTGTTGACGACGCAAAAACAACATCGATACACAAACGGTCGCGATTTATTAGACCGCGGTTTTCGAGACGTGTGTCGGGTGTGACGATGATGTACATAGGTATATATAAGTATGTCCTCCTGTAGTCAGTTTCCCGCCGGAACAACGTGCTCACGCAACGCGAAAAGCGACGGTAACGTTCGACAAACCCGCGGGGCCATAACGACACTATACACATTCGCGAGCGCGCGCGAAAAAGGTGTCAGAGTCGAGATTTTGGGATTTTTCAATTGAACATGTGAAATAGTTTTTCACCGGAAACGCAAAATCGGCGTTTCAACGTTTAGCCATAATTTAAGTACTGTACGAGTTTACATATTTATTATACTATGTTGTTCCGTATATTTTTCAATGTGTATTTTCATCAGGGCCGGTTTGAAGGCGGTGCAAACTGAGCACCGCGCTTTTGGAGGTCCCGCGTCTAGTTGTTATCATATAGCTAGATAGTAATTTCACATGATTATTTAGGAAAATACAAAATTAAAATTAACGAATTAGGAATAATTTATTGTATTATAAAGATTCATCTACACTTGATATTACAGATGATGAAAAAGCAGAAAAAAGCTGATGAGATCCCGCAAAAATTACTGCTCAAGGTCTTGATATTTTTCAAGCCGGTCCTGATTTTCATATTTTTTAACGGTCGAAAGTCGGGTATTTTTTTTTTTTGTCAGTGACTTATTTATTATGCACATTGATTTAAACAATTTTTCAGTGACTTAATTTAATTGACTCTAGATTCAATAAACGTGTAATGCGTGGGTTAAATTGAATTAACTTTTCTTACACGGCGCATTTAAAAGATGAATATCGAATTTAAGTGACTGCAGTTTGTGACGTAATTTGAAACGCACTAAATCCTTTAACGAGTTATTTCTCTTTTAAGTTTGAGTCGAGGGATAGTGGTATATTACTAAAACTCCACGCGCTGTGCCACCACACACAATTTTATGCTTCGTTACTTTCCTCGACCGAAACTAAAAAGTGTATATCTCGACGAATATCTCGTCAACGGTTTGACGGAAATCAAAAATGTCAACAACAAAATTTATTTTAATTAATACTCAATTTATGAATGGGATTTTTAATATAGGTTGTTGTTTCAAAATCAAAAGTAGGTTGTGGTTTTACTTCCAAAAATAAGGGTGACAAAAAATAACATAAATAACTATAGAGCAGCTTGTTAGGTTGCAATGTTCTATAAAACAAATTCCGATAAAAGTTAATACTTTCTTAGGTAATAAGCGTATCCACTTAAATAGAACACCATGTATATATTAGCGTTGACCAAAAATAATTTTTGGAATTTTATATACACTAGGTATGTTATACAATTGTATAATTGTTTAGATAATAATTTATTTTTACATTTATAATAATATATAAATTATGTAAAATATTTTAGGTGCTATAAAAAGTGGACATCGTAGTACTAACGATTTATGGACATTGGATGGTTTTGGGGCAGATATATTAGCTTGTGTTATGTCTGAAAAACGGTTTTTATTTCTTATAAGATGCATTCGGTTTGATGACGTTCGTGGCCGTTTAGAGCGAAAAAAATTGACAATATGACAGCAATACGTAAAATATTTGAAGACTTCGTCAAAAACTGTAATTCTTGTTACAAAATTTTAGAATACGCAGCAATTGATGAAGAACTTCAGTCTTTTAGAGGCCGATGTTCATTTAGAGTTTATATGCCTAATAAACCAGCGAAATACGGTCTTAAGTTATTTGCACTTGTTGATAGTGTAAATTATTACACAAATGATTGTGCATCACAGTATGAAAAGCAAACATACCTTCCTTCCGCAATACGTCTGGTCTCGTCCGATAGCCCAGATTTTCCTTTATTGATGAAATATGGCGCTAATTTATTAGCACTGCTAGACACGGCCAATAAATGTTTACGTTTTTGTAAATGCTCTTTAATATTTTTTATTTACCCACCATGTTCTATTGAGAATATAGATTTACACTAGGTACACAGAAATGTCCCCTATTTTATCATTATCTCTTAAATTAGGAAATTGCGTTTTTAATTTTATATTAAAACTACATCATCTCTTGGGCATCTTAAGTATTATTTTTAATAAACTTATAAAAGTTAGGGAAAACATCGATAGGTACACGTCAATTTTAAAATACAAAACGACTTTACGGAAAGGAATTCACGGATCGACTGTCAACAATGAACACAAAACAGTGTCGACCAAAAACTATTACCGAATACCGAGAAAACCCAATAAAAGACAGAAGAACACGGACGATGTAAAAACGATATTTAATCGTAAATGAATCAATACAATATCTAATAGCATTGACAATAAAGATAAAAATAATATTATATTACATATAATATTTAAGTACGTAGATTACGTAGAACGACATATTATGCCATACGATATGTCTCATGCTTATCGATAATTTTACTTTCATCGGTATTGAGACTCTATGTTCGTTCCACGAAGACTGTTATCCGTTATTCATAAATTTGGTTTCAAATTTTAAATATTGGTACGAGTAAAACGGTTTTATATTCGTTTCATACATCGATATTTTTTTTTTCACGAACATAATATGGAAATAACGGGATTAAAACGGGACCATCTTCTAAAAACGTGATAAAAAGCGCCCCGTTCGAAGTTTGTCGGGACACCGGGACATGACGACTAAAAAGGGGACAATCCCGTTTTAAACGGGACGTCTGGTCACCCTACCCTAATATATATTCATAGATTGTAGAATTACCTACCTCGATAGCAGATAGCAATGGGTAATCTTATAGATACACTAGCAGATTCTCTCCAAAATCAACCAAATATGTCACAACCATCAATTTTATCATCGCCACCAATCTGCAGAACATAATCTAAGATGTTTCATCATTATTTAATGTTTGGTCTTCTTTTGTTTTGTTTATGTATTTTATTATAAGTCTGTGTAACTTGAATAAATCGTTTGAATTACGCTCAAAGCTGATGATGTCGATGACTAAAAAAAAAAAATTTTTAGTTTGTTAATTTTTACATTTACTATAGATTACAGCCGTAAGTACTCTGTTCCACACGAATAAGGTTAATTGTATCGAAATATATTTTAAATGTTGTAAGGGATGGTCAAACAAAAAAGGGAATGAGGGGACGTATTAAGACCTTTTTCTTAAATATTAATATTAATATACAGAGTGATTTAAGCATAATCAGTGCTCTCCCCATTGTTATAGTTAAATTAAGCATAAATTCAAATTTTATTATTTTGAATTTTGAATTTAAATAAAAGTTAAATTAAACTTTTAAGAAATATTCTGTGACAATACTAATTTCTGTTTTTTTAATGAGGACCTACATATTTTAATACAAATTGTCAATCAGATGATGATTAGTCTGAAAATCTTGATGTATTTTAATCGAAATTTGAACGAACAATTATTTAAATTTAACTACTAAAATATAATAATTGACGCACAATTTAAACAAGAAATTATCAATACACATGAAACAGTAGGTATCCAATCCCCGAAAAAAACTATTATCATTCGTATTTAAAGAAGAATAACTCAGAAACATTCGGTTCAAATTTCGATTACAATACGTTAAAATTTTCAAAAGACATCATGAATTAGCGTGATTTGAATCAAAATATGTAGGTTCTCATTTGAAAAACTAATGTAGTTATTATTACAGTATACTATTTAAAATTACTTCATAATATTTAGAGTTTAGACCATTATTGTAGGTGGAAAGTTGAGAAGGTATACTATATATGGAGATCATTTAGTTTGTATTACTGTATAAAGATCCCATACACGATCAATAATATTAATAAATATTTAATATTGGCAATAATATTGATCGTGTGTAGACTGTACTGAAGGATTGATCGATAAATTGAACAAATTAAGAACTTATGAATTTTATTGACGCGCTGTTAATAATATTTTGTTAAGACAAGTAATGATAAATATATTATCATTTAAAATGAAGATTCAATTTTTGTATTTTAAGTCTAAAACTTAAGTGTGAGCATCCGTATGACATACAATATGGATCTTGAAATCTAAAAACCCATATTCCGATAAAATGATTGGATTTTATCATTCGTCTGCCTATGTAAAATATTTCAGATCCATGCGTATCATACATTTTATCAAAAATCAGCGATTTTCTTTATTTGTTATAACTTATAAGTATTTTTCATTATTGAGAAAAATACAAGGAGTTTCGCAAATTAAAATTTGCCACACCTACAATCAAACCCATAATGCCCGTAGGTAGAGTTTTTGGCTAAATTTTAACGTTTGTATTATTTAGTAACATTATTAGATTCATTTTTAGAGATTTCGTTAAATTTCTGAAAACATAATTGTATGGTAGGATTTAAGAAATTTAAAAATATAATTTGTACACAAATTAAATGTTATGTTAATAGTATCACTTGTCGGGATGTTTCATTACTCATCATAATAAATTATTAAATATACATATTACATAAATAATAAATTAACAGAATTTACTTATTATAATATAAGTACTAGATAGGTTGATTACACACAAAAAATTTTTAATTTTTTTTTTAAAACTCATCAATACATTCCACACAAATAATGTATCTAAAAAAAATCAAATCAAATTATATAATGTTGATTTACTAAGTTCTATATTTGTCAATTTTAGTATAAATTATATTTTTTTATATGATTAAGCTTCCCGATGCAAAAGTCGTATTTTAAATTTGTATTAATAATGAAATATCAGACAATATTTACATATGCTTTTTATTATAAAATCTATTTCATTTGTAAAGTTAATAAGTATTAGATGTACGTTAATTTTTAAAATACAAATAAAAATATGATATTACATTTGATAAATCAAGTTGAAGGAGATTTATGAAATGTATACGATTAAGTTAAAGTCATTGTTGTTAAATAAAATTATCGGTTTTAGTGAAATCTTATTAACAAAATAATTAAATTGTATTATCATACCCGGTATAATACGAGTTCGTTTTCATAATTCATAGTTTAATGTGACCTAGCTGTGATCATTTACTCCGTGTTTCACAAATTATACATAATATTGTATCTACCTCATTTCTAACCGTAATCAATTTTACTTTTTGGATATAAAACAATTTTTTGACTATTTAGCAATTTTATGTGGAGTATTTTTTGTTTTTAAATTGTTTATGCAACCTATTTATAACCTATGCAAAAAAAGGTACGCTCACACATGAACAAATTATAGACGGTGCATTATTATTAAAAAAAAAACTGATCAAGAATTATGAATCCGGTAATTGTAAATACCACTGTAGTTTTAAATTATTAATAAATAATTAAATACATATGTAATTGTACAATGTAATTATACAAAATACATAATTTATATTTTATGTTCGTTTTAATTAGGAGTTGCCTATCGTTCTGATAACGTGTGGAGTGACTTATTAAAATATCAAACAAGACTACCTACTTTTAATTTTCAAATGACATCCTTAATTAAAAATTAAGCATTATGTGGCTGCACGACACACGGCGTTTGAATAGTGATCTACTACACTCCTACCTGAACTTAGAAATGGAATATCTCGTAAACTAATCAATTATTTCAACACAACAATTTATAGAGATTTATTTTTTTTTTTTTTTGAAAGAATTATATTTAACCACATGATGAATTTTTTAAAAAAAATATATGTTTTGTATAAACAATTTCTACAAACGAAACTAACAACGTTACAAAACAAAACAAACCGGCAATTAATGAGTGGTAAAATTCGAAAATTCGAAAATTCTCAACAACAATATTTCTTAAAGTAATATAAAAACGTACCTGGTATTATAATCTTCGCATAATATAGTGTACAGCACAGATTTTACGATGTTTAAAAAAAAATTAAAAAGATATTTACAAACAATGTTTTTGGGCGAAATAAGTAAATAATACAACACCAGTAATTAAAATTTTGTTTAAAATAAATAAATCTTAAACACATTGGGTTAATATTGGTAAATACTACTTAAATACGAACTACGAAACGATAAATGCAATGGTCTGTATAATACGACAATATACAGCGAAATGATGAAAAATAAAATAATATCTGTAGTACCTACACTAATAGTTACAGGTTATTTTTAATCATTTACATGATAACTATTACAAATATAGAACCATACAAATATTTATTGTCGACAACCGATAATGAATGTAATTTTAGATTCTGAATGAAGCAAGGAATGTTTAAACGTATCTATTGGTTTTACTATGATATTGACATATTGTACACTTATTTATAATTTTTTTTTTTATGAAACAAGATTTCGACCAGAAGAATTACTCTGATAAAAAACATCCTGTATTATAGTCTTTTGGAGCCAATTGACTATATTATAGGTGCATTTTTTTAAATATCTTGTATGTTTCTTAATAATCTAATAGGGTAGTCAAATAAATTTATTAAAATATGTATTTTATGAGATTTTGTTATTAATCATCAAAAATTTATCATTTTATCATTATAACATTTAAAAATAAGTCAGCTGAGTATTTATACCTATTATGCTGAAAGGGAATACAATACCGTCGGACATTTTGACGGTATACCTATAATATATATTTTATCTAATTTGTGTTTATCTCGATTATTATTAATTTTTTCGCCGACCATATACGGTAAATCGGGTCTATAATCTATATTATATTGTTTTCAATGCCAACATCGTTATAAAACAGAGTTAACTTAATATCATATGTATATAATATCGAAAAATCGGAACAATCGTTAAAACAAAAATCGGATAAACAACAAATCTATACTCTCTCTCTATCTATCTACCATCTCTCTCCCCCTCTCTCATCAAGGCCGTGCCACTCGGTCGGAATCATATTTCAATAGTGTTTACTTTCCATGACTGTAAACTAGTACCTAGTGTAAGCATATAAGCAATATATGAGTATACCCAACAATTAATTAT